GCTCATTTTCTAGACTGGTTTTTATTATAAATGGATCAGGACAAAAAGAGAGAGAATCTTTTTTGCTGAAACTTTCAGAATCTCTTTCCACAGACGGGACACATGTTGATGTATAAAAGAGATGAAAAGGTGGATTTTGCATAATGGGTGACCTTTAAAGACCCCCTTCTAGAAACAATTGAGTCCATTAAATGTCATAAGTTAACCCTAACCCTAAATTTGTCTGGCTTTTTCCTCAGTTGAAAAGAGTGCTGGTTTTGAGCACACTGATGGTTCCATCTATGTGTTTAGTTGGTAAAAGGACTTGCCACTTCAGTCATATTGTTTATGTGGATACACAGTCTTGTCAACGCCAGATTTCAGTCTGGAAAAGACCCACTGAGAAACCAATTATTAAAATACTGGAGAAGCTTTTCTACTCAAATGTATCCAGAAGGTCCCTCATGGAAACATGAATGCTGAAAGAAAATGTTGATGTATCTATCCACACTGTGATTTGAGTCCACTCCAAAATGTAATGGATTTTTGATTGGCCCCTGCTAGTTTTTCTCGTATTCGTGCTGTCCAACAGACAAACAAACCAATTGAATCGGGAAAAAAATGTACCCTCTTGGCGAATGAAATTGTTGTCAATTCGCTCAATTGGCTCGCTACTCCCACGCCTGTTTGCTAGCTTGGTTCCAAAATGGTGGAACGGTTTCCCCATTGATATCAGGACAGCTTAAAGTACACTTTCCATAAAAAACTGAAAACCCAACTGTTTCAACTGCAACTTGGCCATCAAACCTAACTTACAAGGTTTAGGACCAGGGGTGTCAAACTCAAATACACAGCGGGCCAACATTTTAAAATGGGTACTAGTCGAGAGCTGGACTGGTTCAATGTTTATTGCTAAACTTATTGAAATGAACTTATTGCACATATTAAATCTGGAACTAACAAAGCTTAAATGATTGCCTATAAAAACAACATTAAACATTAAATAATCAGTTGCATTCATTTCTTATGGCTCTATCTGCAGCTTTCTCCAGAGTCATTTCTTATGATTAAATTTTTCAACAGGCCAACAACAGCTTCAACAAAACTATTTCCCTCAAAGAAAAAACCAAACATGCCCTGTTGTCGTGAGAGAAAAAGTGCAGAAGGAAACATCCATTGAAACTCAGTGTGCTGCTCTGTGATGCTAGTTCAGATACTTGGCATCTCATCTTGGGTGCAAGTTCATCAATGTTTGGGCTCAGGCTCTGAGCTGAGGAGACCCTCAGGATGGAGTGAAGGTGTGTGAGCAATATACCGGCGGGCCAGATCTAATAGGAATTAGAAATTATCCTGCGGGCCGAAATTAAATCCACCAAGGGCCTGATTTGGCCCCCGGGCCTTGAGTTTGACACATGTGGTTTAGACCATTTCAAGTGTATGCACAAACAATAACAAGGTCTTACAACCACTTATTGTAAGACCTTTTGGACAAAAGCATCAGCTAAATTAAATGTAGAGTAAAAAATGTACAAGTTTGTGTTCGTGCTCAGTTAGGAGAACGTGGGGTTTGTGTGGATTTCTAAGTGAAGCATCAATCATCTGCCATAAAGCGTGTTTGAAATGTGTCCAAAGCCGACCCCTATTTAGATTTGTTAGACGACATCAAGTGAAATCTGAGCGACCTCTCATCCACAAATCACTCACTCCCAACAGCTCTCCCCTGTTGTGTCTCCTTTGTGTATGCCTATGATGGGTTCATCGTCAAGTTTATACGTGCTATATGTGTGTTTGCAGTAGCAACAGAGGAAAAGAGGGTAACAGTCAAAGTTGGGGAAGGTAGATTGGGTTCGGTGGAGTAAGAATCCAAAGCGCCTTTAAGTGCCGGGCTCACCTTTCAAAGCGTGGGGTAAAAGAAGATACTCCATAGAGAGTGGGCTGACAAGATGAATTCTCCTGGGGTATTTCAGACACTGAAGAGATGGCCCCTTAATCCCTGCCGAGCCTGTGCCCTGCTTGTCATCTAACGGCTCAGTGATATCATACATATAAAATGGAAGACACTGATATGAGCCTTAATTACGATGACACTTCACCCCATAATACCACAACCAAACCTCCTTCTCTCAACACCTTCCTTTCCCACCCATCCACCTCCGTCTCATCTACTTCCCCTTCTCTCCCTTTGTCATTCTGTCACTCATCACCTCCGTCTCACATGTCCTGGTTTCCTGCTCCATTTCTAGCGGGTCACCGGTGTAATACGAGAATGTCTCCGAGTTCTTTCTCTGCTCTCTGGCGGCTTTGTTTTTAACCTTGTCCCCTTTCTCTCTTCTTTTTCTGTCTCCCTCTCCTCTGTCTTTTTCTTTTTTTGGCAGCCAAGATGGCAATGTGCAGCATCCTCAACGCTGATGACATCAAGAAAGCACTAGATGCATTTGCAGGTAAAAGGACTTTTTACGGATAAGTCAAAAACTACACCTACACGGCAGAATAGGTTGTTTACCAATGACTCCGGAACGGCATACATGACCATATAGGGTACAACCAACAGGCTGTGAACCGGTTCCACCTTTTTGATAGTGGTCTTCATTCAAGCAAAACTACTTGGATAGGTTTATATGAAGTCAAGGTTTGGTTTAATATAAGTATGATTTTTATATAATTTAGGTTACTAAATTAGGTCAACAATAACATGTATACGTTACCTACGAATATAAGTGGCAATAAGCTAACAATAACTTTGGGTTTCGCACAAAACATGTGTCAAACTCCTCTTGATTCATAACCATTATCAATTATGTCCATGGGAAAAATGTAAAGCGCATTTGTTTCCTTATATCTCGGCACTTAGCAACTGGTAAACGAAGACATGTTTGACATGCACTGAATGTTTGAAAGCAAGTGTACGTTGTGAAAAAATCACATGTTCTGAAGTTAAAAATATGAAAAGGGTTAAGAAAATATCATGGCAGGGTTTAAAATAAGTATGTTTGTTTTGTGAATTAGGTTACTTACGTGAGTTAGTTCTGTTACACAAGTTAACTTACGAATATAAGTTGAAATAAGCCAACAAGAAGTTTTGGTTTCACACAAGACACTTGACATTCCTGGGCGTTAGTCATCTTGATTCACAATTATTATAATAATGATAAAAACTGTGTGACAACATTGTCTATATGTAAAATGAAAATGACCTTTACTTCCAGAACGGGAAGCCCCTGAAAAACCCCTTCCACTTTGCAACTCCATATCACTGTTTAACGAAGACGTGTTTGTCATGCACTGACTAATATGATGCTTATTTATATGTTAGCATATGTGCATGGTTACATTATTTGTATGTTTATAGAAATAGACAGCGCTCCATGACCCAGAACTAATGGGTCCTCTGGCAAAAACATGTTCTCAATCTATATCAGTCTCACTGGAAGAAGGCTTATTAAAATTACACTTTTTCCTCTGGGCTTCATCGCCCAGATGAACACACGGTAAGCAACTTCCAGCGACTTCTAGAGCAGTGACATCACAAGCCTCCAGCTGCTCATGAGCACTCTTACTGTATTCTGTATGTATATTTTGTATCCAACGGAAAATCTGTGTGTATTTATGACATTGAAACACAATTTTTAATGTGTGTGTGTGTGTGTGTGTGTGTGTGTGTGTGTGTGTGTGTGTGTGTGTGTGTGTGTGTGTGTGTGTGTGTTCAGCTGCTGACTCCTTTAACCATAAGAAGTTTTTCGAGTTGGTGGGTCTGAAGGCCAAGTCTGCTGACGAGGTGAAGAAGGTCTTCTTGGTGCTGGACGCCGACAACAGCGGCTTTATAGAGGAGGAGGAGCTCAAGTGAGACACACACACACACACACACACACACACACACACACACACACACACACACACACACACACACACACACACACACACACACACACAATGATTTTGCTGCACATAACATATAAGAGTTCTGTGACATGTACCTTTTGTGTGTTTCTGTCCCTGGCTAGGTTCGTCCTGAAAGGTTTCGCCCAAAATGGCAGGGACCTGACAGACAAGGAAACCAACGCATTTTTAAGAGCAGCCGACAAGGATGGAGACGGCAAGATTGGAATTGATGGTAAACATTCAATTTTGTTAATAGGAGTATCATGAGGTCACACAAACAAACACCAGAGCAAAAGGTAGAAAGAAAGTCAAACACATCTTCATTCCCACAGTGATTAACATCCTAATTATTAAATGGCAATATGACATGTATTGGGTTATGTTGGCTGAATGTGGATTGCAACCCCAATGTCATTAATCTGAATTAAAAAAACATAATTTATCCTGGGAGAAAATTGGTTTTCTTACAAAGGAAAAGCTATGAGATAGACATTACACTCATTTGTCAAACATACATTTTCCAGGCACCTTGGAGAGACATGATTGTCTAAATGACACTGCCCTCATCTTTCAAATGATCGGAACCACACGTTGAATCTCAGACACACATTCGTAGACAAACAGATAACAAAAAAATACAAAAATGTGAAACCATGTTGTTGTTTTGCAGGATTTGGACCATTATGGGTCTTCCGAAAACGATTGGGGTTTGAAGTGGGGTTGAACCTTATGTTTTCCCAACCCAAACATTAACAGTGGAACTAGCAATTATCAAAATGATGGTCAACACAACAATCCTCTTCAGAACAGCTGCTTTTTTAAACCAATGGGTAGTGAGTAAACAATTATCACCGCTGCCACTGAATAAGCTAACTGGGCATTGTAATGTTTTCCCTTCAGCCATTAGTAGAATAGGTTTGGTTGTGCTGAACATGCATTATTGTAGGTTGGAGTTGCAAAAGACAACATTTTTAGCTTGTGCTCATCATTAAGAAGCGTATGTTGATTTCACAATGTAATGGCTGTAGAATAATGGCACCAAATGCGTTTAGATTTCCATTTAGCCTTGATTTCCTTATGCAATCTGTCTGCCTCTGGGTACATCTCCTGGTGAAATAAAGCTGGATTTAATGTACAGAAGAGAATGCTTGAGTTGTGAAGGCAGTTGTGAAGGCAGTAAGATAATACAACAGAGAAGAAGACAAACTATTATATTCTCACAATGGGGAAAATTCATTTTGATCTCTGTTATTTTTGTTTACACATGCAAAAAGGACATATCCACATGAAGTCTTTTGTTGGTTTTTTGGTCCATACTTGGAGAAATGAGCGATTATCCAGTGACCATCCGGTTCTAAAGCCAAGTTCGTACGGACTAAGCTGCTGACGTTGCTTCAGTTTTTACCTTTCACAGTCAAGTTAATACATTTAAGACCTTCCCTTGAGTTCCCACAAATAAAAAAAATACATACAGCTAGTTCTTTTTGTAACTTTTTTGATTGACTTTTAGCGTTGACAATGTACATTTCCCCTCTGCGGGACTAATAAAGGTATTCTTATTCTGACATGGTGTGAACCTGATACCATTTCACTGTCATGGATCTAAAAAAGTATGAAAATAACCCCGGAAAAATATTCTAAATTGTCTTTTTCTCCCTTGCAGAGTTCGCCGCCCTGGTGAAAGAATAAACAGTCGCCCAATGTGACCGACTGTCACTCCAAGATCACCTCCCAACCACGCTGCACTCCCACACCTGCAGGCCTCCCTCCACAGCACCAACACCTCACCCCCC